AAAGGGCAAAACAGCTATTTCAATATTGAAGAACAATAAATCTAGCTATCAAGACTTATTAGGAAAAATAAAAATTTAGAAATATATTAAAAGGGGCTGGGGATGTGGCTCAAGTGGTAGCACGCTCGCCTGGCATACGTGCGGCCCGGGTTCGATCCTCAGCACCACATACAAAGATGTTGTGTCCGCCGAAAACTGAAAAATAAATATTAAAAAATTCTCTCTCTTTAAAAAAATATATTAAAAGAGCTGGGATTATGGCTCAGTGTTTATATATGACTTATTAAAGCTATACTAATCAAGTCATTTCAGACTATTGGTACAAGGAAAGACAAAATATAGTCAAATATAGCAGAGATGACACATTATTAGACATAAAATTTATAACTATAACAGAGATGCTAAGGGCTTCAATGGATGCACACAGCATGCAAGAATAGATGGCCAATGTAAACAGAGGAGGAAATCCTAAGAAACAACAGAAATAAAGAATGCCTTCAATGGGCTTATTAGTAGACTGGACATGGATGAGGAGAGAATCATGAGCTTGAGGATATCAAAAGACTGGTGGTATTGCTCAGTGTTAAGAGTACTTACCTAGCATGAGGAAAACCTAGGTTCCATCCCCAGGAACAAAAAACAAACAACGACAACAACAAAAATACACATAATACTTAAGAACTATGGGACAGGGCTGGGGCTGTAGCTCAGTGGTAGAGCACTCGCCTAGCACATGTAAGGTCCTGGGTTTGATCCTCAACACCACATAAAAATTAATAAAATAAAGGTTTTGGGTCCAAGTACAACTAAAAAATAAATATTAAAAAAAGAACTATGGGACAGTTATAAATGCCACATACTCATAATGGGAATACCAACCAGAAGAATTAAGAATGAAAGGAACAAGGCCAGGGTCCTAGCTCAGTGGTAGAGCACTAGCCTAGCATATATATAAAGGTCCACATATAAATAAAGGTCCATTGACAACTAAAAAAAAATTTTTTTAATTAAAGGAACAGGAGCAATATTTGAATAGTAGGATTCCCCCCGAATTACTGTCAACACCAAACCACAGATCCAAGATGTTCAGAGAACACTAGGCTGGATAAATGCCAAAAATAATATAACTAGGCAATATATTCACACAAGGAAATCAAAGATGGGCACATCTCAAGCCATAGGAGTTCAAAAAAAAAAAAAAAACTAAAGAGGAGCAAAGATAAGAATTATATCCAGCTTCTTGGGCTGGGGATGTGGCTCAAGCGGTAGCATGCTCGCCTGGTATGCGTGTGGCCCGCGTTCGATCCTCGGCACCACATACAAACAAAAGATGTTGTGTCCACGGAAAACTAAAAAATAAATATCAAAATATTCTCTCTCTCTCTCTCTCAAAAAAAAAAAAAAAGTATCCAGCTTCTCTTCATAAATCAAGAAAGTAAAAAGAGAGGGGCTTGGGGATGTGGCTCAAGTAGTGGCACACTCGCCTAGCATGCATGAGGCACTGGGTTCAATTCTCAGCACCACATAAAAACAAAGATATTGTATCCAACTAAAAAAAGAAAGAAAGTAAAAAAAGAATGAGGTGACTTGTTTAAAATATTGGGGGAGGGGCTGGGGCTATGGCTCAGCAGTAGCACATTGCCTGGCATGTGTGATGCACTGGGTTCGATTCTCAGCACCACATATAAATAAAATAAGGGCCTATTAACAACTAAAAAAAATTAAAAAAAAAGAAATCTTTGATACTTAAAAAAAATGTTGGGAGAAAAACCTACCAATCTAGAATTATGTATCCTGAAAAATTATCCTTCAAAAGTGAAGAAGCTGGGACAATGGTACATGCCTATAATCCCAGTGACTTAGGAAGACGAAGCAGGATCAAAAGTTGAACAGTCTGAACATTTTAGCAAGACCCTGTCTCAAAAATTTAAACGGGCTGGGAATGTACCTCAGTGGTAGAGTCTTGGAGCTGCTAGGCAAGTGCCCTACAACTGAGCTACACCCTAGCCTGCACTATCCATTAAGACTCTGGCTTAAAATTTAAAATAAGGGCTGATATTGTGGCTCAGTGGTAGAGTGCTTCCCTTGCATGCACGAAGCACTGAGTTTGATCCCCAGAACCACATAAAAAAAACTAAGTAAACAAAATGAAGGTATCGTGTCCATCTACAACTAAAAACAGTCTTAAAAAATTTAAGGCTGGGGGCTGGGGTTGTGGCTCAAGCGGTAGCGCGCTCGCCTGGCATGCGTGTGACCTGGATTCGATCCTCAGCACCATATACAAAGATGTTGTGTCTGCTGAAAATTAAAAAAAAAATATTAAAAATTCTCTCTCTCTCTAAAAAAAAGAAAAAGAAAAAAAATTAAAAATTTAAGGCTGGAGATGAAGTTCAGTGATAAGGTACCCCAGGGTTCAATTCCTATACTAAAAATTAATTAATTAAAAGTATAATTGATATGCTAGGTAAGAAGAAGAACAGAATAATAAAATGTTTGATTAAAAGCACAAAAGATGGGGCTGGGGTTGTGGCTCAGTGGTAGAGTGCCTGCCTAGCAAGCATGAGGCACTGGGTTCCATCCCCACCACCACATAAATATAAAATAAAGATATTGTGTCCACCTAAAACTAAAAAATAATTATTAAAAAGTAAGTAAACAAAATGAAGGTATTTTTAAAAATAAAAACAAAAAATGATACAAAAAAGATACAAAAATATGAGAAAAAAATTTAAAAAATATAAAAGCACAAAAGGCAAAAAAGTGGAATACAGAATACAAAAATAAAAACAGTAAACAAACAACCCAATAAATAAATGGGCTAAGGAGCTGAACAGACACTTCTCAGAAGAACATATACATTCAATCAACAAATTATATAAAGAAATGTTCAACATCTCTAGCAATTAGATGCAAATCAAAACTAAGATATATCTCACACCAATCAGAATGACAGTTATCAAGAATACAAATAACAAATGTTAGCAAGGATGTAGGTGTTAGAGTCTATAAACAAGTCAGGATGACGCCTGGCATTTTGCCAGGGGAATATTAGAGTCTATAAACAAGTCCGGATGACGCCTGGCAAAATGCCAGAGGGAGTGGTTTATGAAGGCCATCAAGCCATTAAGTGTGAAAATTTCTTATTGGTTGACTGATGTATCTAGTTTATGCTAATTAAGATAAGCTGTGTGGAATGTATAAATACCGCTCCTGTCCTACAATAAAGGGCTCCTACTCCTGCTGTATCAATCTAGGCATGTTCCTCTCACCCACCCCGTTATTTTGCCCAGCCAGCCGGCTGCAACATGTAGGGAAAAAGGCACACTCATACTTTGCTGGTGGGACTGCAAATTGGTACAACCAATCTGGAAAGCAGTATAGAGATTCCTTAGAAAACTTGAAATGGAACCACCATTTGACCCACTATCTCACTCCTTACCCAAAGGATTTAAATCAGTATGCAGCCATATCAATGTTTATCACAACTCAATTCACAATAACTAAACTGTGGAAGCAACCTAGATGCCCTTCAATAGATGAATGGATAAAGAAACTGTGGTATTACTCAGCATTGAAAAAGAATAAAATTATGGCATTTGCAGATAAATGGATGGAGTTGGAAAATATCATGCTAAGTGAATTAAGCCAATCACAAAAAACCAAAGGGTGGATGTTCTCTCTAATAAGTAGATGCTGACC